TCACCCAGCTCAATGGTAGTCTCTTCATGGTCAGCTGTCGGTCTCTCTTCGGCCGTGGCCTCTGCTTTAGCTTGTTCCTCTCTTGGATTGGCTTCTGAGGTCCTCGTGCTCACTGTCCCAAATGTTCGTGCTCTTTCTGCTTTTGGTTCTTCAGTCACGTTTTCTTTTGTTTTTATTCCGAACATTATTCCCAATTTTTCCGTAAAAAATGTCCTCTTTACTTGAGAGTCTTCTTTCACCGTTTCTTCGGTGTTGCCTATTGCATCTTCCGCGTCATCTATCGGTGAGAACTCTATGGGTTTCTGGTTCGGTTCCTCTGCATTGGGCATTGGAGTTGACTCTGTCGCCATCTTCCTTGTTTCATCCACACTTTGATCGGGTGTCTCTAGATCAATCTCGATGGTGGGTTCTACTCGCTCCCCTTCCGTGCCCTCTTTCGCCCTGTTCTCCGCTGTACTCCTTGTGCTGACCATGTTAACTGAAAAGTTCGTCTTCGTTATCTTTGGGCCCGTTGATGTCGTTCCGCGCAGCGATGAATTATATTTCGTGTTTGATCCACTTGACCTTTTTTCGAGCACCGGTACCCTACTCCGCCTCATTATTTCTATTTACAACTGCTCCTATTTACAATTTTATTATATACACGATTCTATTCTAAGGGTAAAAAAAAAATTTTTTGTGGTAACAAATTCTGTACAACGTGTTAAAAACCTTATCTAATTCTCTTTCTAAAACCTCCGAAAAACTTTCCTTAATTTGGTCTTAACCGTACCTATTTCGATTTGTCTTATTCTGTCTTAAGACACACTTGTTGTGATTCTACTTCAATTTTTATACCGTCCCAAGACTATTCGTCACTATCACAGTACTCTCCGCTAGTGTCCTAAGACCCTTGTACCAAGACTACTGTCCCAAGACTAGTGTCCCAAGGCTAGTGTCCCAAGACTACTGTCCCAAGACTACTGTCCCAAGACTAGTGTCCCAAGGCTAGTGTCCCAAGACTACTGTCCCAAGACTACTGTCCCAAGACTAGTGTCCCAAGGGCAGTGTCCCAAGACTACTGTCCCAAGACTAGTGTCCCAAGGGCAGTGTCCCAAGACCAGTGTCCCAAGGCTGGTGTCCCAAGACTACTGTCCCAAGGCTAGTGTCCCAAGACTACTGTCCCAAGACCAGTGTCCCAAGACCAGTGTCCCAAGGCTAGTGTCCCAAGACTAGTGTCCCAAGACCCTTGTCCCAAGACCACCGTCCCAAGACCACTGTCCCAAGACCCTGTCCCAAGACCACTGTCCCAAGACCCTGTCCCAAGACCACTGTCCCAAGACCCTGTCCCAAGACCCTGTCCCAAGACCACTGTCCCAAGACCCTGTCCCAAGACCCTGTCCCGAGACCCTTGTCCCAAGACCACTGTCCCAAGACCCCGTCCCAAGACCACTGTCCCAAGACCACTGTCCCAAGACCACTGTCCCAAGACCACTGTCCCAAGACCCTGTCCCAAGACCACTGTCCCAAGACCCTGTCCCAAGACCACTGTCCCAAGACCCTGTCCCAAGACCACTGTCCCAAGACTGCTCTGTCCCAAGACTTCTTCGGTACTGTCCCAAGACTCGTCACGGAGTGTCTTCCTCGTTGTAGGGTCTTCTTGAATCACCGTACCTTGTACCACCACTCAAGCTCTAGTAAAATTTTCCCAAAAACCCTCTCTTAAAAGCCAAATGCTGACCCCCCTCTTCTTTTTGGTTGTTTCTATTTCAATGTAGGTGCGCAGGTATCTTGTGATCACCTGTTCGTATAAAACCAAACACAAATCCTCACTAAAATGCAACAAAAATCTAAGTAAGAAAAATAATAAAAACAGAAAAATGAGCCCACCTGAAATTCAAAGGTGACCAATGTCTACCTTTCGTCGAAAAAAATGTCTGGTTCCTAATTGCCACGCGTTTTCCTCCCCCCACTAGTGATCTTATGGGGTTTCACAAAAGCTGTTTATATCCGGTCCCCCCTACCAAACCAACCAGCGTACCAGTCTTAACTCGAGTTGAATTTTGGATCTCCACCTAATATTACCAACGCGTGTTAATTTCTAATGTAACTAAGTCAACGATGTCGACTAATTAGTTACTCTAATTTCCCCCTTTTTACAATTTACAACCGCCAACCTCTAACTTAACCAGTCCCCCTTCTAACCTCCCCCCTTTCTAGCCCCCCTTCTTAAGCCTAAAATTTACTTTAAGCGCCGGGTGCTAAACCTCTCAAGAGAAAACCGTAGACCTGTTTCCAGGCCTGCTCAAGTAAAAACGTTCTCAAAACTGGGGGATTTCGCTTATCCAATTTTACACTTATCTCCTATAATGTAATGTGGATTCTAACGATACCCGTTCTGCCCAACTTGAGAACTCGAGAATTGCCAAATCCTTCTTGGCTGCTTTCCCACTCGACTGGTCACCTGTTCCAGTCCAGTCTCCTATTGGTTCAGCTCAAGTGTCCCTGAACCACTTTCCCACTCGGCTGGTCACCTCTTCCAGTCAAGTCTCCTATTGGTTCAGCTCAAGTGTCCCTGAACCACTTTCCCACTCGGCTGGTAACCTCTTCCAGTCAAGTCTCCTATTGGTCCAGCTAAGTTCCAAGCTATCTGAAAACCCTTGACGACGCCCCACTTCGGGCACTTTATTCAGTTTACTGGTTTAAATTGCTAGGTTGATCGAAACGATCGAACTTGTAAAACAGTATGGGTATACTATTTAATTAATATAAAGGTTTGATCCAACTAATCTGGTGTCAAAGTCACTGTCTTTTTTCGTTTTATGGTTTTTGTTCCTTTTTCTATTCTTTTTTGGTTTTTGTTTTGCTTTTTGTCTTTTTGCTCGTGTTTTTGTCTCCCTAGTTGCCCCCCTTTACTCGGTTAGCTAAGCCTCGTTCGGAGAGCGTACCAGGAAATTTTCTCGAGTTTTCTTAAAAAGCTATCACGGTACAACCGGAAGGTTTGCACGTTCCTGTCGAACCGTACCGCCGGTACTCTAGAATGGGCATTCAGCCCGAAGCTGTCTCAAGTGGGTTCGACTCCGTAGTCTTGATGTCGTAAACACCCAGGAGCGCCATAAAAACACTATGTAACATTCGTCTACTGCAGTCACACATGAGGCTTAAGAAAAATAGGCCCTATAACCACTGGCTCAAGGGTCAGGGACACTATCTCTTGTGTTTTTCTACCTCAAGAACGGTCGGAGCCAGTTCGGTTCGCTTGTGACATGAGACTACGACCCGTTACAGCTTAAAGGCTACTACTAAAATATCCCCCCCACTCTAGAATTAGAAACGTCCCCATACTTAGGTCTCTAGATACCCAAAATACATGAACGCCGTTAAAAACCGGGTTGGAACAATCCGTTAAGTTACTTTTTATTAGACAGTGTAACTTTGATCCATTTCAGATGGATCAACCTAAAACTCGCCTTACCTCAACATAACAATTATAAAACACACTCTAGGAATTTAAATTAAGTACTCACATTGTAGCACGCTCAAGAACCAGGAAGTAAATAAGTCGGTAAACAACTCAAGAATTAATAAAGTAACTAATATGAGTTTAATGTTAGTCAGTTTTAACAACAAGAACAAGTTTTTACTCTAGACTGCAAGTTATCGTGAACCATTGGGACACTCAAGCTGTCCACCTTTCCACCGAAGGTTCACTCTAGTCCAGTCAATAATAGTATTCCAATCGTAACAATCCAATTCGTGGGAATGCTCTCGTCTCTGTTTCAGATGGGACAGCTCTACTCTAAGCTATTATTGCTATTGAAATTGCGAATAGCAATTTCCCACCGATTTTTCTAGCAACTTTCCCGCGATTGTTATTCAACTGTTCTGAAATTGTTCTGACCTCTTTTTCTGATTTTCAGTTCTCGCGAGAAAATCGTGCATGACAGGTTCCATTCGAAATTTTGAAAAATTAAATTTCACTCCAAAATCAAGTGTTTTTTTCTTCTCTCAAGGTCAAACTTCCAAATATGACCGACTGGCACATCTCTTCCTAATTTGCTTTGATGAAATAAATTGTGTTTGATCTATATTGTATTCAGTCCCCTGTGTCTCCCAGCAGTGTTGATTTTAACAAAGTGTTTGGAGTTTGAAATTTCTTCACAAGAATCATCAAATATAAGCAGATACTTAGTTAACTGAAGTAAGTGAAGACACAACGCCATACCACCCCTCTATATTCGAACAAATAACCGTCAAGGCAGTACGGAAATCAACCCTGAAAATGCTCGAAAGCCACAGTCCCTCAGTTCTAAATGCGTGCGAATGGAGAAAAATATTAACTCACTTTAAGCAGACATCCATTGAACATTAAAATACCAACAAGGAATTCTCGATCTGGAATACTGCAGCTTGTTACACTTATTGAAGCGTGGACTGGAGGAGCAGCACCATGCTCTAGAAAAACCGACCAGAAACTAGCAGAGAAATTAAGCGAAAAACGAAACGAATCATAATCCGACACAATAAACTTTTTAAAAACCTAAATAAGTTTTGCACTTCTGAGGAGTGCAATCCTCTGCCTCATGGGTTGCAAGAAACTTAAAAATACATACATGACATTTCCTTCAATGCAATAATCAAGTGGGTTGATTTTAATTGAGAATTCTCTGGATGCTTTAAAATCGACTTGATTTATTCATAAAAGTTTGTCGATGTTTTAAATAAGGGTGGTATGGCCCAATCCAACCTGTGCACGGACCGTGGCATGACGGAAGGGCCCATTTTTGTTGTCTTGGTCCAAAAAATAACACTGCCTATAAATGTTTGTTAATATATATCAAATTACAGGAATTTTAAGTTTTTTCTCATGTAGACATCATTGTAGCCCTATTCTTTGATACTGATACTTGTCGATGACTGCTGGCGTTTTGAACGAATTGAATTGACATAATACTAATAGTTTAATGAGTATTGCCCGTCAATTTTTTTTATTTATTAGTATATGAGTCCTTTTTTAGGTTGATAATGTCGGGGAGTATCTCCAGAACTCCTTCAAAACTTTCAGAAATGTTTTTCTCATTTGCTGATACAAGCTTTGAAAAAGTTTATGCGAAACTCCAGAAAGATATAAAGCTTGTCGAAAGTCTGAGTAATGAATCGGAGTCTGCTTGTAATTTCCAACATCGCTCACCAATCAAGCAAAGATTTAAGTTCACGCCATTTACTTATGCTAGTGGCGAAAGGTTAATATACGTGAATCCCAATGAGAAAACAATGCGAGTTGGCTCAGTTGAAATCAATGATAATGACATATCCAGAGAAGATGCTCCTGCTCAAACAAGAACTGTGAGTATTCTTATTTTGTATGCAATTATACAGGCGACCTTTCAATGACATGGAATGACTTAAAGCAATAATATTTTATTAATCGAGATCAGGTTTATTGCAATCGGGTGTTAGCCTTTTTCCCCGTGAACAACTTCGTCCAAAACTACGGCGAAACGGCTGACGTAGATCTCACCCACTTAAGCAAGGACAAATGTTGGTAAGGAGGAAGTAGGAGGGGAGGTTGAATAGAAAAATGATTTTTCTCGGCATGTTTGTTCTGAAATTAATTTCATTCGAGACGAATTGTGATTTTCATGGTATTTGTTTAAATTTATTTTGACTTCTGGCTCATTTTTTGTCTGCTAGGTGGATATGCTCTGTTTGTGATATATCACCAGGTTTTATCAAATGGGATGTGTTCCTAGCATGGGCTGGTCGGAATGCTTTGTTTGCTATATAACACCAAGTTTAATCAAATCGGGCGTCTTCCTTGCATTGCAGGTCAATGTGTGAATGGAAACTTTTAGGAAATAAAACTTTGTGACCAGCCTTTTTAGATGATATTTTTTTTTCATTTTTTGAACAATAGATTTAACTATTATGAGTGAAGTCTTCAACAAAATACAAATGACAAGCAAATAATTTAGCACTGGGGAGGATAGCTAAAAGGCATATGTAATGCCCACTAATAGACTACCCTTAAACACAAATACAGTGAACTAAATTATCACACATAAAAAAATTGAACAAAATAATTTCTTCAATGAAAATCTATTTGTCGAACATAGCCATTTTTAAAAGCAAGTCAAAGCTATTGATACTGCCATGCTATAAACCTGGATACTAACAGACGTTACAAAGAAAAACCAAAGGAAAAATACATGATTTTCAAGCATTTTCAAACCAGCGTTATTTTGAAGCTCCAATATCCGTAGGTTGGCACACCTTAAGACCGACGCGTGAATTGATTCAACGAAATGAAGTAAAAAAAAAAATAGATTAATTCATCTGAGGATTGTAAATCTTGCAGCCAAATGCGACTGCTTAATTGCGAGTTGTGACGTTTTTATGTCATTGTAAATGTTTTAAAAAGAATTTAGATATAATTTTTTAATGGTTTTTCGAAATTTGATTTGAAAAACTTGAATAAAAACTTTACTTAATTTGAAACTACCAGAACTGTAATTGTTTGCTGGCAGAGAGCACACTCAAAGGTTACAAATTTTTTTCTCTTTATGCGTTTTTTTTAATGAAATACGAAAAATTCGAAGCACCGGAGGTGCGTTACGCGCTAGTCATATTTAAGCATAAGCAATTTAAAAGCATATGTTTTTGCTTTGTTTTTGGCTAGTGTTAGGTCCTATTTGAAAAAAACAGGTTTCATAAAAATATATTGGTGTTGTTGTTTTTTTTTGCGACGCTTAGTAAAATTTTTGCACTAATCGCAGAAAATTTAATTTTTTTCTCAAAAACTACGCAGTCAATTTTCAAAGAAAATAGTGCCAGTGGAAAACCGGCGGCTCTTCTATGTGTCTGCATATTTTTCTAGTTTTTCATTTTACCCCACGTTTTGCGGCCTTCGAAAGTTTCAATAGGTGGATTTTTGGCCTATTTGTTAATTTTTTTCAGCTATTAAATACACAAATCTAAGATGAATTTTTCAATCAAAAGAACAAAATATAGGGATATCATTTTTTCAGGCGGCTATTCCCTAAATTCGGTGGGAAAAAAGTTATGTCCTCAAACTAGCCCATTTTTTGACTTTTTGTTAATTTTTTAAACTTTTTGAGTCTTCTCAAAAGCTACCCTGCCAATTCGGAGATAAAGGTTTTAACCGAAACAAAAACAATCAGTTATGCGACTCTTTCCTGCGCAAGTAGCTATTCCCTGCATTTTGAAAAAATTATGGCCTTCGAAAATGTCCAATTTTCAATATTTTACCCGTTCATGGAAAATTATTCTTTTTTTTCAAAAATTAACGTGCTGATTCTGAGGTTGATAGTTCATTCAAACTAACGTGCTGCTTAGATTCCGAAAAATCTACGTTTTGAAATTTTGTACCGTTTCTTTTGAAATTTCATCTCCATTCTCGAAAACTACTTGCTTTATCTGATATCAACTGTTTTATCTCAAGAGGCTATTCCAATGCTGAAGTAGAGAAAATTTTGTGATATAGGAAAAGTCCAATTTTTGAGTTTTTGTTCGTTTTTTTTTGGAATCCTCTTTCCTTTTTTTCCCGAAAACTACCCAGTGAAATCTGAGATAAACATAAAGAAATCGCTAGGGTTTTGCGTATATTCCTTTTTTTGAAAATAACCCAGTTCCGTATCAGTGCAATATATGATTAAAAATGTCAAAAACAAGTAGATCCAGCATTAGCCCGGCCACTATTTTACTTCCAATTAATTGGGGCGCAGATGCGAGGACGTGAGTATCCTAATCAACAGGTCGGAGGTTCAAATGCGGATCATTGAAATAGTTTTATTTTTTGGTCAAATTTTTGCTGCGTAGCAATGGCAATTTGATACAAGCTGTAGCTGCTTTATTAGTGGCTAGTGTTATTAAAATTACCAGCGGTCGTGGAGCAGATGCGAGAACGTGAGTCTCCTTGTCTCACTAAAAAAAATTTCCCAAGGTGTATGTTTTTATCTTTTTCTTATTTCCCTTTGTTTTGTCTTTTTCGAGCTCTTTTTGGCATTGTCCTTGCTTGTGTATGCGAAGCGCAGCTTCGCCTCTGTGTCAAAAATGAATGTTTTTTTTTTCGAATCTTTCTGAAATGTACTAGATTCATAAGCTGCTTTATTGCAAAATGAACGTAATGTTTTTCATTTAAGTTGCATCACTGGAGCCATGTTTCCGAACACCCTCTCGAGAAAGACGAGTCATTTTTTGATTTCCCTGATGAAGCAGTGACATCTGAAGAGATCATATCTTATGAAGACGATCCTCATAATATTAACAGTTATAAACACCTTCTATCTTATGAATCAGATAGTGCTCTGGACGAAGTAGATGAAGAGGAATATGACGATCGCTTTGAAGGTATTTAAAACGAAAAGTTTGAAATATTTTTCAATTATTAAGAGTTGATGAACGTAGTGGTGACTTGTAGACTTTTATTTAGGTCGTGATGATTTTTTGCATGAAAAGTCTTAAAATTTGTTCAAGCTTAAATTCACTTTGTTGCTGTTTGAATTTGGATTTCTTTTCAAGTTCATTTTTTTGATAAAAGGAAGGCAAACTCCTCTATCATACAATAAAAGTGTAAAGGTCACGAAAGACGTGATCGACTTCTAGTTTTCGTTTGTGGAATTTTATCAGATTTCCCAGCCAAATATAAATTTTACTTAGTGATCTAGTTTTCTCTAATTGGGTTGATTTTATCCAAAACCTATCTGTCATAATTAAGAGTAATGAACGTAATGAAAACTCTTATATAGGTCTTGTTGATTTTTTTTTCAGGAAAACTCATAAAATGCTCTAATAACTGCAGATATGCATTCATACATATTGATGCATTTATGAATGCACTTAGGTATATATGCGTTTTTTGAGTTTAATTGAAGTTCATCTGCTGAAATTGACGTAAGCAGCACTCTCCAAATACGAACGTGGAAATGGCGCGAAAAAACGTGAACGATTTTTAGTTTCGAAAATGGAATTTTATTTTTAGATTTCCAGCGGAATAAAAACTTTACCTATTGATCCAGTTTTCTCTAGTTGGGTTCATGTTATCAAAAAAAGCGCTAATTGTAAATTGTTCTAGAAAATCAAAGAGCTTAAAGGGTATGTATTTTTTTCTTTGAAATTTGAAAGTTGAGATTTCAAGAAAGTCAGTGTTTTTTTTAATGTTTACTTGCGTTCATTACTCTTTTCCAATCTTCGGCTGGCTATGTTTTGCTCTTAAAATTCAAAGAGCTTTGAGACCTCTTTTTTCAAATTCGAAAGTTGAGGTTCAAATAACAATTCAGTATTTTTTCTTAATGCGACAACTCGCAACAAAAGACAACTCGAAATTTGCATTAACAGACAGCTCGCAATATACTCACCGCCGAAGTGACGCCAACATGTTGCCAGCTTCCCAACAGAGGGTAGGACTTAAACCGAAATTCTTACATTATAAAATAATTTCCAAACTTTCCCAGTTGTCGCTTTCCTGAAATTTTGCGAGTTGTCTTTTGTTACTGGTTGTGTTTTGTAGCGAGTTGTCATGGTACTGTATTTTTATAAAATGTTTTCTTGCGTGCATAAACTCGTTTCTAACCTTCTGTTGGCCAAGTTTTATGCTAAACGCGGTTTATCACAATCATTTATTTTTAGGCGAAGAAGCGTCTGATATTGAAAATGCAGTTCTGGAAAGTTCTTTCTCTGTTGATCCACATTTTTATCACGCCTACTTTGCTAGGACGAAGCCAAAGATCTGCGATGAAACAGAGCTACAAAAAGTGCAAGATGAAAATATTTTCCAACGCCTGGGAGCAGGTTTTAAACCTCCGTTACGAATGCCTGATAGTTGCCACCCGCAGACTCCAAAAACACAAGTTTTACCAAACAGTAATCGGTTAGCTGCAATAAATACACCAATGGAGGGATGCAGTTTGTCAGACAGCGAAAGTGCCAATTGTGATAGAGCTCTAGACTTGGAAGACGGAATCGAAAATATGATCAAAATGGCATCTAGTCAGACGACAGATAGTCCTAAGAAGTCAAAAAACAGTAAGCCTAAGTTTGATGTGTACAAACACATCAGAGCAGACGGCGACAGTTTAATTGAGAGTAATCAGAATGTGCATCATTGTGGTATTTGTGGGAATTATGCAGCGTTGACGAAAGAGACATTAGAAAAGCATTGGAGAACTCATTACAAAGAGAGGCCACATAAGGTAAGCAAGCATCATTGATATTTTTCATACTGTTTGTTGGCTATGATTTTCTTCAAAATTTTTAACCTGATGGGACTCCTTCGTTTGTAATTTCAGTTTAGATGAATTGTTTTATTCTAATGAAGATAAAAGATTGTTTGTCAAATTTTTGGCTCGAATAAGTTTTGAAGTTCAAGTTAACCTTCATTTTCAACATCAATAAGACAGTTTGACGTGGAAGCTGAATTAACTTAAATTATTTTTCAGTGTCCTCGTTGCGAGAAGGCCTTCAGCTCGGTCTACTTACTGAACAGTCATCTTAACACGCACGCAGACATCAAAGACTTCTTCTGTTCTCTGTGTAGTCTGAGTTTCGCATCTAAGTCTGAGCTGTCCCGACATAAGAGGTACAAACACACCGAAGACAAACCCTACAAGTGCACCGAATGTGACTATGCCTCAGTGGAGTCTACGAAGTTGAAGCGACACATGAGAACTCATACTGGTAAGTTAATAAATATGGGATGGGGGTTCGATGAAGTTGGGTTCATTCTCATGACAGGAAGACGTTCTTCGAAGTGACTGATTTTCGTATTATTTCTGTGGCTCCCCTTCCTCGAGGATTCGGCCCCCGGGCATCCAGAGCTTTTTGCGCAGAATAGCTGTTGTACTTACGCAGTTTTTTGTTATTTTTCTGTATTGAGAATTGTTGCCTCGCCCTCGGACAAAGACCACTGAACGTAGTCGGCCTCGAACCGCGGACCTTTAGACGGGGGGACGGCTGGCGTAGCCATTTTTACGTCGCTTCGCAGTGAAGTTACAGTTTTGATTGCATGCGTTGTTTTGTTGAAGGTGAGAGGCCGTTCAAGTGTCACTTGTGCTCCTACTGCTGCACAGACAACTTCAAGCTGAAGAGACATGTGAAGACGCACACGGGGGAGAAGCCGTTCTCCTGTCCCCTCTGCATGTTCAAGTTCAGCCAACACGCATCACTCAAGCAACACCTGCTAGGACATACGGGAAACAAACCAAAGTATATAAAAACAAGAATAAGTTGCTGCTTTGCAAGCAGAGCAGAAGGGTTCGAATCTCTGTTGTTTTTGCAAAAAAGCTTGAATTGAATAAATGTGAAGAGTGACTCTTCACTCTGTTTTTGTCTATAATTACAATTGCGAAAGCAAGTGTCTTGTAATTTGGAACTAGACTTTTTCCCTTAAATAACTTTTACAAATTTTCAACTTGCTTTAGTATTGAATCTTAACAACTTCAAGTTTTCTTCGCTTTTGCGTAGAGGTAACGCCGTCATCTTTGCATCCTAAGGTCAGGGGCTGGAATCCCGGACGGACCTTGCTTTTTCAGTATGTGCTACTGGAATTTTTTTCGTTAAAAATTGATTCGTCGGATTTTCGTTTATCTGCTCACGTTTTGCCGGCTTAGTTGCCACATCACGGATTTTTTGTGCTTTAAGCAAGTATCATGGTATCATGTTGGCTGTAGTTTCAGAGGGGACTCGTAACTTGAATGTTTTTTTTTCCAAAATCATTTTTTTTCGGCTCAGCTGGCGTCTGCTTTAATTCCGCTTCGTAAGTTTTTTCCGTTGCTATTTTTATATTCAAAAATTGCGAGTCATGTTTGCATAGATTTCACAGTTGATAAAAACAAGTGTTATGAAAATTAATGGAATTAGATGTTTTCCTTTATTTTTTTTGAGACGCTTCGCAAATTTTATACTCTTCTAGTCTGATTTTACTTCACCCCTCGGAAAAAGCTGTGGGGGAGAGGAAAATTTGATCCCTATTTTTGATTTTTTTTTGTTAAAAACTATCCTCCGAAATCTGAGATTTTGGTTTCAATGAACAGAACAGGTTTGAAAAAGATCTTTTGAACTAACGGCAATCACAATTGTTTCACACAAAAGGTTATCGACCTGGGAAAAAGCTTTTAAAAATCATTTGAGCATTCTCAAAACTTTTCGAGTTTTCTAGAAAATTACCCTCCAATATCCCAGATTTTGAGTTTAAATCCAAAAAGTCGGTTCTGAAAAACTGCTTTGCATACGTGACTACGCCCATTTTTTTCGTAAAATTTTCTGGGCCTCGGAAAGGCCAAAACTTTGATTGTTTGCGCGTCTTTTGAAACTTCCTGACTTTTCTCGAAAACTACCCTCCCATATATGACATATAGGTTGCAATCCAAAGACTTTTTTTTACAAAAGTTATGACCCTCGGAAACGTCGAAGTTTTGAAACTTGACCGTCTTTTGGAAATATTTTCGACTTTACTCGAATACAGCCGTGCCATTTCTGAGGTTTAGTTTTGTTTATCCTCTCTAATTAAGCGCTCTCGACCTGCTTTTTGCAGAGAATATTTTCTACAAAACTACCCTATCAAATCTGTCTGAGATCAAAAGTTCAATAGAAAAAAAACGGTTGCGAGGAGTTTTCCTGCAGAAGCGGTGACTCCTTATTTTTTGGTAAGAGAAATGTTATGTTCTTGGGTAATTTCCTATATTTCTAAATTTTCACTTAAACTTATTTTAGTAGAGAAACAACTAAGGTTTTGGGCAAAGTCCCGTTTTTGAAATTACGCCTTTCGTCCCGTATGGGTAGAAAAACTTTAAAAGATATCAAACACGTTCCTCCAGCTTTAGTTAGGCCCCTAGTTTTCTTTTATCGAGAATACGAAAATTTCGGATCACCTAGTTTTTTCAACATTTTCGAATTCTATGTTTTTTTATTTGATCGTCTCATCACAAGTGATGCGAAGCTCCGCTTCGCCTGTTGAAAAAATGAGAAGCCAGTTTTTCGCCACGAAGTTATTTTGGGTTTTTAAATGCTGATAAAATTATTTAAAGCTTTAATACTATAAAACCGCCTTGCTTTAGTGTTTTTAAGTACTGTAAATGTTAACTCGATTATCCATTATTCGCTGTAGATTAAAACTGTTGTTATGCTGGCTGATTATTTCATTCAAGCTCAAATCACTGAATAGTCAATTTTATGTTTTTACTCCCGAAACCGTCTGAAAAAGTTTTCTTGGTTCTGGTTTTGAAATAATGTTAATAATAATAAGTCACACTCAAATTTGACTTTTCACCGTTCACCTTGATTTTTTCAATTCAAAATCATTTGCATAAAGTAATGCAAGTTATTCTCTCCAGTTACGAAAGCGGAAATGACGCGAATAAATGTGACTGACTTTGAGTTTCGAAATTGGATATTAATTTTTCGATTTCTCATCGGAAAAAGGTACTTATAGACTTCTTTTTCTCTAATTGACTTAGTGTATGAACAAGGTGTCAATGATAAAAGGTTCTAAAACTTTGATGACACAAGCAATGCTTGTGTCATAGTATGAACTATCTTTTTTTCAAACCTAAGTCATTTGTCGCAATTATTGTTGCGATAAAATGAGTTCATTTTGAAAGTGTTCATTTTGACCAATAACAGCTATTAAGTACAGCCAATGCTAAGGATAATAACACATACTATTATTGTTCCGACTGTCGTAACGAAAGTAGCGGACTATTTGTGCTCGGGGTGGTTTTTTCTTCAGACAAATTTCGACTTTTTAACTAGCCATTTTTGACGTTTTTTTGTATCTTGCAAAAAGTAATGTTGTCCTGAGCTTAATTTTGGAGAGATATTTCAGCTTTGACTATTTTTCCTAAAGTTATGGGGGTTCAAAGATTGCCATTTTGACCAATCTTTGAACCCCCAATCAATTCATTTTTATTTCATGACATTTATTTTTTTCATGTTATTACTGCTCGATAGACTGCTGTATAAATTGAGGCATGTTAGTTGGTAAATTTCTTTTTTTAAATCAAATTGACTGGTACTGATAATGCATCATAATTGGCGTGTGTTACTTAAGAAATTTTGTAGGCTCAAAGTTTTCTTCATTCAGTTTTTCCCAGTAGCGTTATCGGTCATATTTTTGCTTGTGTATGCGAAGTGCAACTTCGCCTCTGTATTATAATGTATTTTTCGAAAGTAGAAAAGAATAAACAAAATATTCAATGTTTTTGCTTCCCTGAGTTCATTCACATTTTCCCATTTTTTTGGCAGTGTCAATTGTTCGACGTAATTTTTTGCGGAAACCTTTTTATTCCTCCGGTTGGAAAACACTTGAAAAATCCAACAATCCTGACTTTTAGTTTTTTAGGTTAATAACAGTTATCTTTTACTTACGTAACCACTGCGACTCAGAGCAATACGGAAAAAATTTCATTCGTTAATTGTTGCGACCACTTTAGGAAGTGGGAAGAAACTATGGTTTAGGGTCTGTTTTTTAGTGGATTTTGACTACCTCAATGAAAAATCTATGGGGTCAAAGGTGGTATCATATTGAAGCCCTTTCAGTCGTGATTTGGATTCCACAAAATTTACAAAAGGATTTGGTATAAATATTCTCGTGGTTGAAACATTCTGCTCCTTGTACAGCAACCGACGATCCTTGTTGTTCCGACCACTTCATGATTTGAAGGGTAGGAACTATTCCGGTTGTTTTTTCTCTTACCCATTTGGACTACCTAGAGGAAAGATCATTAGGTGTCAAGTCTGGAATTATTTAACTACATCTCGTTCTGTACTTACCAACTTAAATTGTAAAATCAAATCGGATAAATGTTAAGAACTATTTCGGCAAAACTGCAATCATCAGTGATCTAGAAAAAAAACAAATTATCTTAAACAAAATCAAGAAGACTGCAGAATGGAAAACAAGAAAAAAATTGAAAACCAAAATAGCTTATTATGGATGTAATTAGGTATGAAATCGAGGTGGCATGAAAACCACAACTAACAATTGAAAAATGACTTCAAAGGCGTACTGTGAGGGTGCTACCGGCACTCCTTTTGGTGTGTTTATTATTATATTATTTTAGTTAATCAGCCAGAGTCCTAACCCGAAGGTTAATTATTTAAAGATAATCAAGATACGGCTATCTTAAAGAGCACACATGCGATTTGAACCCGCAATCAGATGATTGCTGGTGACCATCACCACCGATGCGCCACAACGCCATTTATTTTAATTGACCTTTAATAACAACGAACTCCGTTCGTTTGGAAAATCTTCACTTCAATCGCAATAATCAGATTCATTTAAAACAAACTGCGATCCTTGTTTTAAATGAGTATATATTTTTCAAATTGATATTTTGGAAAAAAAATAGTAACGTTTTTGTACCTGATTTTTCGGTACGAAGTAGAAAATGCATATGTGCCTAACCGTTGTATGAGTTAATCTTTGATAGGGTACTTTACTTGATAACATGAGGGGAGAAAGATAGTTTACGAGAGCCCTGTGATTATTTATTGTTTTTTTTTTCAAAATCTGTTTAGGTACCAATGTGAGTACTGCAGTGTGACGTGTTCTCGCAACAGTGACTTGAAACAGCACGTGATGAAGCTGCACACGAGTAACAAGCCCCAGAGATGCAGACTGTGTGGGGCCTCATTCCCCGACAGACACAATCTGAAGCAGCACATGAGGAGACACAGGGGGGAGAAGTTGTTGCAGTGCGAAGAGTGTCACTACAAGACTAACAGCCACAGACATCTCCAGGAACACAACAGGATACACACTGGTACCTTTTCAACCTTTTTTCTTCCTTCTCACCTTCCTCACCTTCGAGTTTTTACTGGCATAATTATTGCTCACAATGTACGATGGTAATAAGGCTAATTACCCGTGCGATAGCAAGGGTATTGAAATCGGGTACTAGATTTTTTTTCGTAAACAAATTTGACCACAGATTTCAGCATGCATGCAGTACACGACATGCATGCAGTATGAGCGTTGTATATTTGCGATCATTGGTCTTTTACTCTCACTGTGCATCCTTTTTAGTGATTTTCCAATAAATTCTCAGTTCGAATTTTTTAATGATAATTCTTTGGTATTTTTTTTTGAATTTTCGACTTCGTTGCTTTCGGTTTACTTTTTGTCGGCTTAGTTTCCGCTTTTTAACCATCCAACTAAATCGTTTATTTGAATTTCAGTTTTTTAATACATTATAGTTGCTTTTAGTGTTCTGGTTTACCTCTGCTGTTTGTTTGTAATTATTTTAACCTTGTCATTGTATATATTTCTTTTTTTGCTTTGTTTTTGAATAAAAACTTTATTCTGCCCAAACGGCTTAGTGACCTAATTTCGAGTCGTTTCAATGGAAACATATTTTTTATGTTTACCTCTAGATTGCACAAAATGCTTAACATCTTAATAGACATATAATTCAAATTTTTCAAGACAACAACTTTTTATCGCCTTTTTTCCTTTTGTTTCGGCTTTATAGGTTTCGGCCTATATTATATCGGCTTATCAGCCTCATATTGCGACGAGCGAAAAAAGGGTGTGTGTGCGTGTCTGTGTTTGGAGGACGAGGGGGGGCTTATTAATTTCTTATTAGTCTTAATTTTTCATTTTTTTATGTTTCTTTTTTGGGGCTTAATAGGTTTCGGACTATATTATATCGGCTTACTTGTCTCATATTGTTTCATTTGACGAGCAGACAATGTTTTTTGAGTGTTTTGAGGGCTAGGGGGACTTTTCATAAGTCTTAAACCTTTTTGATTTTTTCTGAAAGGTATCTGCCAAGGTAATTTATGTTCCGATGCTAATTTCATATTCGATTGTCGCGGTATGTTTTGTTTCAAAACTAGACTTAATCATTATGATAGATCTAGTTTTTTCGAGATTTTTCATTTTGTTTTGTTGCATAGCAAGTGGTGCGGAGCTCAGCTTCGCCTCTATGCTTATAAATGTTTGTTCTTGATAAAATGACGCGTTAGACTATGCTTATGGTACGCTTGTAAGTTAAGGTTTTAAAATCACGAGGTAGATCATGCTTATGGTATGGTAGGCGTGAAAAGGAAAATCAGTCGTTTGTTTTTTTTCTTCTGTTTTTGGATTGTTTACTTCAATTGTTGTGGTTGCAACATTCAACAGCAACGGGCTATCATTGTTAGTTTTTGTGTTTTCTGAATACGTTCTAAAGTAAAACGTCAACTTTTTGCAGCAATGATTTTTTTGGTAATATTCAGAGTTAAATGTATTTAGCCAGCGTCGATTTTGATACTGTATATACTCTCGTTTCCGTTTATGGGCTTGGATTTTAAGCAAGAAAAAACTGGACGATTTAAGACAACGACGGTCAGGGCTTAATAATAAATTTTGCTAAGCCCAAAAATTGAGTTCTTTTGAGGCTTTAAAAAACTTTGAGAAAATACGGCAATGAAACATGTTCAGGTTGGCAGAAAGATTGATAGTTTTTCACAATCGCAAGCGGATTTCTGTACCCGCCTGTCTAGAGAGCGCAAAAGTGTTCAAAATATAAACACTGGTTTGAAAAAACGTGTTGAAAGCGACTGTTATTCAGGTGAGAAGCCATTCATCTGTTCTCATTGCGGTCAGCAGTTCCGACTTAAGCAGGGCCTACGTGCCCACTCGAACCGAGTTCACCCCGAGTTGAAATGGACACGACTCTCAGAAGAAGCGGACAAAGTTGAAACCAATTATCAGACGGAAGAAAATGTGGCAGTATTTGTGTGCTCGCTATGTCAACAACAAACAGGTACTAAAAATACAATGCGTCAGCATCTCAGAACTGTACATGAAATGACGGTGGAAGAAATTGAAATCGCGTTGCCGACTTGTGTACAGGTCCAGGAAGGCCAAAACGACCAAATGTCACAAGATCATTTGTCAACGAATGGAAATGAGAAGAACTCTGATTCAACTATAATGGTCACGTGTACACCTGATCGAGTCTCCGCTTCGGTAGTAAGAAGTAATGAAAACAACGCAGAAACTATTCCAGTATCGAGTGATTCTTTTATAGAAGCTATTTTTATTCTCTCAAGAGACGAGAGTGAAAGACTCAGTGTAATGGTAGAGCCAGAAATTCTGTGCAATCAAACGCTTCTTCAGTCTTTGCAGTCGGCACTGGAACAAAATGTCATCATGAAAGAAATTGCGTCTTTAAATTACAAAAGATTGCATTCTGCAGATGATGATTTGAAATTACCAAAAGAATTGACAGAAAATGAGGAGCAGTTTGCGGTAACAGGACAAGAAACACTTAATACCACTGAAAATGGAAATAATAGCGAAAACTTAACAGTAGAAAAAGTGCCTGAATTTTCAACTATTGATACCTCGGTGCTTCAATAATTAAATTAATTTGTAAGTTAAATTTTTGTTCTATCTTGGAGTTTCTTTTAACATCTCTGGTTCTATTATCCTTGCTCTTAATAAAAAAATTGTGCAATTTAGACAGTATAAGTTAGTATTTAATCGATTATACACGACTCAATTCAATATTTAAATTTAGTGTTTTGAACAGTCGTTTGTGTTAAGTGTATAAGAATGAAGTGATGACCGCTGATATAGTAAGTGATGATTTTTTTCCTTTGAAATGTTAAAAGAACGAAGGGAAGGTCACTTTGCCGAAAATCTACTATTGATCCAGTTTTCTCTAAATGGGATAACTTCAAGAAAAAATAGCCGACCATAAACAGTATTTGAAATTTGAAGAGCTTAAACATGGTAGATTTTTCTTCAAAATTCAAAAGTTGAGTATTGCTCAATAATATTCATTCAACTTTTTTCGGTTCTCTAAAGTTCGTATATTGATCCGGTTTCCTATTCACAGCTTGTCGGTTCAAAAATTTGCAACCTTGCGATTCAAATAAGAATCTGTCACCGATTTTTGAATGCGCATAGTCAAATCCACTAGGATCTCCTGTAAAAACTTCAATAAAATTTAATTTTTATAAAATGTATATTTTCGTTTCTTTTTTTTCGTTTTTTTTTTTCGTTTTTCCACCTGCGTCAATTGTTACTTTGCTCGAATCTCTGTTTGTCTATTTTTTTAATTGTCATGTTGCTTTCGTCCTGTCATTTGTTTTGCAAGTGTAGCGAAGCTCAGCTTTGCCTCTGTGTATAAATTTGTTTAAAATCATTGATTTACTCGACCGGTTCTTTTTTTTAATCATACAGTTGCCGACACTGATAGCAGATAGAAAGTATCACTCTCCCTAAACACTTAAAGTGAAATCACATTTACATGAAAAACATCTCTCTTCTCCCTTCTAGCCTGATATTATAAAAACGTTTTCGAGAGCAAGAGTCTTGTAAAATGAAACAGACTTTTTCCATAAGGCTTTTTGTCTTTACACTTGCGATCAGCTTAGTGTGTTATAATGAACCTTCTTTCGTTTCTAACCTATTTCGCAAATAAAAGTGTTCACTTATTTGGAATTTTCACTATAGAATTGGAAATCGCATAGCATCTGTTCTCTGATTTATTTAAGACTAGTAATTGGTACTTAGTAAGCTTCCGTGGCTGAGTGGTTAGTGTGTGAATCTCTTAATCTCTAGGTCGCAAGTTCGAATCTTAGACGTTGAAGATTTTACTAATTCGAGGCTAATTTCTATATTTTGTTTTGCACTTTATAGAGCTGTCGTGTTCTCGCAAATGTTTGCGAAGCGAAGCTTCACTTCCGTGTGAAAATCTGCCATTAAAACTTTTTTTTGCTGACACGTACCAGTGCTGACTTTCCTAATTTCTCAAAACTCAAATAGAACAACCTCTTTCATATTACGTGCATATAAAGCTTTTCAATAAACTTGTTGCCAAAAATGTCACCTGATTTTTTGTAGGACGTTTTTGCATTTTGACTTCTATAGTATCTACTAAAAGGGGATAATTGCAGTTTTTCAGCTAATGCCTAGACACTATTTTATATAAGCTTGAAAAACAGATAGAATGTATAAGCACCGCGCAATTTTTCTTCAGAAAAATTTTGAATTTTCAGCATTTTATTGGAATTTTTGATATATAAGAAAGCTTTGATGTCTTGAGCTGTCCTTTTTTTTGAATTCAGTTGATTACACAGCGAAGCGTAGTGTATCAGTACGAAGATTTTTGTTTCTAATCTAAATCGCAAACAAAAGTACTCATTTGGTGACACTTTTGGTATATTTCAAATTAATCATATTTAAGCCTAATTAAGCATAAGCAACTTAATACCATATGTTGTTGTTTGTTTTTGACTAGTATTAGATCCTTTTTGAAAAACAGGTATAATGAAAATGTACGGGATTTGTTGTTTTTTTTCCACGCTTTGGAAAATGATTGCACTTTTCGCTGAAGTTTCAACTTTTCTTTAAAATTACTGTACCGTTTTTCTCAAAAAATTGTAGCAATGGACAAACCGGATGCTCTTTAATGCAGATTTTGTTTTTCTTTTTTTCATGTTACCAAATTTCTACGGCCTTCGAAAGTTTAATTAGGGGTATTTTTGACCTATTTATTTTGAATTTTTTTCTTTTTCTCAAATAATAAATGCATAAATCTGAAATAAAGGTTTCAATGAAAAAATCTTCTTTGCTCAAGCGGCTATGCCTTGCGTTTTGAAAGAAAATTATGGCCTTAGAAAATGTCCATTTTTGAAATTTTCACCGTTTTTTTTAGAGTTTTCATCACTATTCTCGAAAACTACTAGCTAAACCTGATATTAAGGGTTCAATCTGAAAATAATGGCGTGGAAATTTTCCCTGCATAAGAGGTTATTCCCATGTTTTAGTAGAGAAAAGTTTCTGGATTTAGAAAAAGTCAAACTTTTGAGTTTTTGATCGTTTTTCGAATCTTTTTCACTTTTTTCCAAACTACCCAGACAAATCTGAGATAAATAATTCAATTGAAAGAACGAATAGTAGTTTCCTTGTTCAAAAAATCAGCAAATCGCCTTCTTAAGCAGAGAAATTACTAGGGTTTTGAGGAAAGTCATTTTTTTGAAATTTTAAAAATTACGCATTTCTGTATTAGTACAATATATGATTGAAACTATTAAAACAGGTACATCCAGCATTACCTGGGTCACTATTTTACTTCCAAGTGAACGTGGTGCAGATGCAAGGACGTGAGTTATCATCAGGTCCGAGATTCCAATTTGGAACGTTGAAATAGTTTTATTGTTTTTTGCTCGATTTTTAGCTTCTGTGTTTTTAATTTCTTCCTTTTTCGTTATTTCGTTGTTTTGCCTGCTTAGAGTTTTTTGCGTTTTACTTGCTTGTGTTTGCGAAGCGCAGCTTTGCCTCTGTGTTTAAATGTTTGTTGTGTTCCGATCACTCTCGTAGGAAACATTTTTTCGATATTTTGTTATTTTTCCATCATTTTTTGATTTTTTAAACTCATTTACTGGTTCAATTTTTTTGTGCTACTGGCACGCTTGCTCGTTCTTTTGCTTTTCCTTTTTCATCAGTTTTAATTTTTGATCACAAGTTCTTGTCTAACGGACGAAAAAGTTTTTCATATTGATGCTTTATTAGTTTAGTCTATTTGGCATTGTTGTTTTTAGTTGACCTCTGCGTTTGATCTCCGTCATCGCCCTGGTGCTCGCCGTCTTGCTCGTCCTCGTTTTTATCCGACTTCTTCTTTTTCTTCTTCTTCTCTTTGTTTTCGTCCGAGACCACTTCTGGGAACTGATCTAGTCCTTCTTTTGCTTTCGCCTCGTCAAATTTGGCCTAAAAATTATAGGTTTTACATAAAAAGTAGTTTTCTGAAAAGTTCAGAAAAATAAGCTTTAATTACGAAACATAAGCAGTATGAATTTTCTCAATCATATAAATTGATAATTTTTTCAAATTTTATGTCCGATCAAAATTTCATTTTCAAAATAATTTTTTCATAATATTTCAATGTTTTTTTTTCAGGATATTGTCTTTATCAATAAAAATCTAAAAATCTAAAAATCATTAAATAAGATCAACTACTTATGAAATTTTAAAAATGAGTGGCAGTGATATCTGTGACTAACTTTCAGCTTGTTTTGAATGATAGCTAAAATTAAAAGGCGCTTCTCTTTTGACAAAGACCATACCTGTTACGCTTGCGATTATCAAGCAATATCAAACAGGAATGTAGACTTTTTTTCCGGTTAACAACTGGTTTAACAGAATCAATTGAATCATTGTACCTTTGGTTCATATTAAATCAAAAATCAAGACGTTAATTCGCTCATGCGGCGAAGAGGTAACACACCTGTCTATAAAGTCAAAGGTCAATAGTTTCATTACGGCTAGGACCTGTTTTTTTTTTGTAAGCGAAAAACTGTCCGCGCGTCAAAGAATTTTTGTCGGACTTCTGTTCGTCTGCTTTTTTGTCCACTTAGTTGACGCCCTTAGATCGATTCTGTGCGTGTTTATTTTTTGCTAAGAGGTATGTCGACTCAACTTGGGTTGTTAGTGTCGAAGGCAGAAAGGTGAGAGTAAAAAATGAGTCACAAGCAATCGTCGACAAGTTTCAACTTTTCATAAAGAAATGCCTAGTTGAATTCACTTGGTTATATTATCTCGTATAAGAACTGCGCTGCTGAAATATAAATTTTCTATAAAAGCATAGTTTGAAAGCGTGCTGATGATTTTTTGTCATTGGTTAGTTTGAGTTTGTGGATCCAGTAAACTTCAGAGATTAGTTGTAAGATTAGAGAGAGCACAAAGATCAAGTGCTATTTTTCTATTTAGAACTTTTTCTCAACTTTTCTTGTTGTATGCAATTGTCTATCAACTTTAGAACCCCTTTTTTGCATCGAACTTTGTGTATTATCCCACGATATTAATTTTAGATACTCTCTGAGTCAGAATTTTTACGATGAACTACAATACCAGTATTTCACTTACTTGTTTTTCCATTTCAAAAAAATTTAGAATTCTAAATGAAATTTTTGCTAAATCCGAAATTTGGTCCTCAAAAAACTTCAGAAAACCCGAATTCGGTAAATCTAGAGTTTCCAAGATGTTAATTTTTGTTCATTTTTGCTGTATGTTGATGTTGATGTTTCTAATGGCATTAATTTTTTTAACCACTGCCATTCGAATTTTTGAATGTTTCCGGCATTTGTTGCTCGCCAAGCTTGGCAATTTTGGTCATCTACGATTTCCGCCGGAAATTGATATCTGTCAGATGGTTTTAAAGTTAATAAGAAGTGTAAAAAAAAATGAAAACTCGTCTGGAGAAATCAACACCCGACCACAAATATTGAATCATTTTCTTCAAAAAACGTAACATCAAACAACTTGCTGCGGAGAAGGTTATCCGAATTTTGCCCAAGAAATATTGCGAAGACATTTTTATTTAAGTGTCCACAAAATTTTTATGTTGAATAATTGTAATAATGTCTGGCTTTGAAAACAGAATGCAGTTGACTTGGGTCTAATTGACAACTATTGTCACTATGATTGAAAGCAATACCGAACCTCTCTTTGAATTGCGTAAGAAGGCCATGGAATCTTTTCAACAACTCAGAAAAACGGATTCGATTTTGCTGGGCATCAATATTACCAGGCCAAACTGTGCTTTGGATAGGCGCACAATTTTGTGTCTGTCGGTTCCTGGATTGCAGAGACAAGTCCTTAAATATTTTCCAAAATGTAAGTGGATTCCACTAAGTAAATTTTAGTGGATTCCTTCTACAAATACCTGTAACGTAACATTTAATCCAGTGTTTCTGAGGACGTTTCAGTTCAGCTTTCAAAAATTACAATCGAGCCGTCCGTTGTCCTAATAAACATTGGAAACATCTCGTCTCAAATACTGATTAGTGATGATGATTTCTGAACCATCTCATCTCAAGAATTGATGCGTGATGATGATTTCTGAACCATCTCATCTCAAATACTGATGGGTGATGCTGATTTCTGAACCATCTCATCTCAAACACTGATGATAATTTCTGAATCAACTTAACCACATACTGAACCATTTCAAACCCTGAACCACAAATAAATGCCATTCGATGATGTGTTTTCCGATCCCAAAAAGCATCCGATCATCGGGTGATCGATAAAAATTTGACATCCGCACCTATTTAGTGTTAAACAATATTTTAAGATTCGTTTGTGGATTCAGCTGACAATAGATAAGTCCTTGCTTTCTAATTGCGCGTTGCTATAGATAATCATTCCACCTCTAGCTTTAAATTGTTCATATGCAGATTCAGTAATAAACAATATTGCGGAATCCACTTACAATTTGCGGAATCCGCTCACATTTGCGGATTCCGCTTACAAATTTTGCGGATTCCACTTACCTTTGCGGATTCACCTTATTTTTTTTTGAATCCACTTACAGTTGCGGAATCCATAACAATTAGCTACATTTGCTTGTTGCGGAATCCGCAACAAAACAAATCTGCCGACAAAATTTACGTTAAGGTATTTGTACGCGGAAACCACTGAAATTCTGTAAGTGGAATCCACTTATATTTTGAAATATGTTCTAAGACTTGTCTCTGGAATCCAGGAACATACAGACACAAAATTGTGCGCCTATCCTGTGCGCAGTTTGACCTCGTAAGTTGATGCCCAGCAAAATCGAATCTCTTTTTTTGAATTGCTGAAAAGATTCCACGGCCTTCACAAATTCAAAGAGAGGTTCGATATTGCTGGGCATCATAGTGACAATAATTGTTAATTAGATCCAAGTCAACTCCATTTTGTTTTCAAAGCCAGACTTTATTATCATTATTCAACATACAAAGCATAAAACATTTTAATCAGAATGGTTTAAAATATATTCATTTTAAAAAGTCTGTTAACAAAATCTTAAATAGACCTGATCGTAGCTATGGCTTGCACTAGGCAGTTATTGATGCTTTTCTTTCCTATCAACTTGTATCTTATGAAGCTGTTATTTTAATTATGAAGTGTTCGGCTTACTTTCTGCTTGATTTTTTTAATAGTAAAAATTCGATGGTTCTTGTTACCTATTTCTCCCTGTTAGAAACGGGGCACATTCGCTACAAGCTAGAAAATTTGCATGTGCATAGCCGCTAAATTAGTCCATTACAGGGTGGATGTTCTTTGCTATAGGGGGTAATATATGAACCATAAGGGTGTAAAAGCTAACAAGATGACCCATTTGGACTGACCTTGAGTGAAGTGCGTGTGGGTTCCTCTCTCTCCTCTGGCTGGTGGAGATTGTCGATGATGTCTGCGTACATCTTCTTAGTCTGACACAAGGACGCTATCTCCCCATCGTTCACTTTGCCCACCGGAAAGTGGATCGTATGGCATGAGTCATTCGAGACCTCAAACACGACCACTAGCATTAGATTACGTATGAGACGACAATTTGTAATAATATGCAAATTTTGATACAGTAGCTTAAGCGGCTACACTGATTCACGATCACTATACATCTCGTGTCGAATGTAAGCGCAGCGGAGCAAGTGATCCCTACTTGCTGATGGCTTACGAATTCTCGCATGTGACGAATTTTTTCCTTAACAGATTGTCGCCGGTGGCGTAATGTCACCCAGACACCAGATTATACTGTATATTTGAACTTTGAGTTCATTTCTGTTATTTGAATTGTTTAGCTCACCTTTTACGTGTACATAATCAAGCAAAAGTACGCTCATAATTTTACTAGCCTGGACCGAGAAACCTTAGAAAATTTTTTTATCTTTTAAATTTTATTTCTTTTTATTTTGGCTTTAATTTTATTGCATCATGATTCAGGGAAGGACATTAAAAAAAACAATTATAATTAATAATTCCATGAGATAAACAGTAAAATCGAAGAAATAAGAAGTACCGAGAAAAAAAAACTTTTTTTTCTGTTATTCAGATTTTTCAAGAGCTCGAATCTTGACTTGGAAGGGAAAGCTTCCAGATCAAAATTGTTTGAACTAATCGTTAAAGCTACTGGTCGGAAGTTTGGTTCCAGTCCTTTAGGAGCTACGATGTACCTTGTCGAGTGCTTGTTGGTTCTCCTTCAAGTGGCCTTCGTAGATGTTCATTTCTGCGGTGAGTTCGTCCTTCTTGAACTTGTGGGCTGCTTTGATCTTTCGGAGAGTCTCTTTCTCGCTCGCATCCACCAGCTTACGCAGATCGCGGTATGCTTCAGCTGCATCCTGGTAATAAAAAAAGTGTGGATAGTTAGATGTGCGTGCAATAAGCCGCTGTAGCAATAAACAGATGTAGTAATAAGTCGAAGTATGAATGGACCGAAAAATGAGCAGATCGTATAATCCAGCCAAAATTGCGTCATTTAATTTGGAATATACTTGAATTTTATATTCATGAGGTATTGTTACGCTTGTGATTAGCAAGTGTTATCAAACCGGAATGTAGAGTTTTTCGTGTTAACAACTAGTTTAACAAAATCAGTTGAAGCATTTGTATCTTGGTTCATAATGAGTTCAAACTTATATGCGTTCCCCGCCAACTTTGCCTGGAGGTAACGAAAATGCCTGGTACGTCTAAGGTCTTGGGTTGGAACCTGACCCGCACCTGTTTTTTTTTTCAAACGGAAATTTTCTCTTTCAAATAAAATTGTCGGCCTAATGTTTGTCTGCTTATGTTTTTGTCTTAATTGCCACATCTAAAAGTCGTTTATTATTGCTGTAAAGTATTTTCCTTCGAGTGGCTCTTAGTGTTTCAGCATTTTAAAATTTTTTGTGCGTGTGCGTGTTCTGAGGGAAAGAGGACTTAAATTTTTTTTTATAAATTTGAATTTTTTCGTCTTGATAGGTTTCTGCTCAGGTATTTTCGGCGTTGTTACGCTTGTGAATAACAAGAAAGCTGCGATACTGAATTTTATGAAAGATCAAGTTTAAATAGTGCGTGGGTACTAGTTACTACAGGGGAGTTTCAGGGGGCGACTTAAAACTTTTAAAAGTTTTTTTTTCTACAAAATCAGTTTTTTTTTCGGCTCAGCTGGTGTTTCCACTTCTTAAGTTTTTTTCAGTTGCTAATTTGAATTTCAAACTTCTTGATTAGCATGTTTCCTCAGAATTCCATAAAAATGTTTGGTATTGGGTTTTATTATTATTATTTTGTAATTGCTTTGGAAAATTTTATAACTTTTTGCAAAACATTTTTACTGATTTTCGAAAAAGGAGTGTCCATTGAAAGAGGGCCTTCACCTTCCTGTGTCTGCTTACTCCTCTGGTCCCTTTTTGCTTTATCCCTTTGTCTACAGACTTCGAAAAAGTCTGTGGGGAATATTAGACCGATATTTTTGATTTTTTTTTTTCGTTTTCTCAAAAACTAACCCACTTAAGCTCAGATTTTGATTTCAATGAAAACAACGGATTTCGAAGCTCACCTCCATTAGCAACTGCGCCTATACGTTTTAACTCATAAATGTATGGTCCTCGGAATAGTGAAATTTTCATTTTTTTAACCGTTTTTTGAGTCTTTGATTTTTCTCGAGCTACCCTGCCAAACCTGGGTTTTTGGGTTCAATCGGAATTAAAGGTTGGGCGAATCTTTGCTGCATAAACTGCCTTGCCCAATTATTTTTTAAAACAAGAAGCTATGATTTCGGAAATGTCAACTTTATGATTTGTTGACTGTTTTTTTGCAATTGTCTCGATAACTAACCTGCCAAATCTGACATCATAGGTTTAATCGACACAGCAGGTTGTTGGAAGCTTAGTTTTACAATTTGCTACCTAAAGTTTTTTCTAGGCTACTCCTTAAATTTTTGTAAGAGAAATATTGTCTTTGGGAAAATTCCAAAATCTCAAAAATTCTCACTCTTCTCACTTATTTCAGTAGTGAAACAACTAATGTTTTGGGCAGTCTAATTTTTGAAATTACGCATTTCGTCACGCGTCAGTATAAATGAATTCAATTAAAATCAAATACATGCCTCCAGCTTTAGCTGTTCCCTAGGTGTCCTTTATTTTGGTTCACCTAGTTTTTTTCAACGTTCTTAATTTCCTATTTTTTTTATGATTGTGTTGTATCTTAAGTGGTGCGAAGCTTCTCTTCGCCTCTGTGTAATTACTTGTTCATGTTGGCTGTTTTACGTAGTAGCGGGTGTCTGGCAAATAAGACGACAGCTGATAGCCCGAGTTACAGTTGCAACTGAGCTAGAGTTTTTTTGCAACTCAGCTAGAGTTTACCAACATAAACAAGGATAGCCGGTTGCTGTGTGCAAATAGTACAGAACGTTCTGACCACCGTGTGAAAAAACTAAAAAAACCGTTCATTTTTAAATTTAGTTTTCTCTTTTGTTCATGATGTGATGGAAGGATCTGAACAAAAGCATAGAATATCGGCATTTCCGATAGTCTTAGTAAATAGGCATATTGAACAACATTTTTCTTCAAAAATGACTTAAAAATTTTTAAAATAATTTGGGGCTCTAAATTTAAAAAAAGAAGCGCGCGCGGGAAAAATATTTTGATTTTTTGATCTTTGACCCACCAACTCTTAAAAATTTCGTGTGCACAAAAATTCAAAGCACGCGCGGAAACTTTTTTCTAAATTTTTGGTTTAAATTGTCTTAAAAATTGATTTATCGATAAATTTAATTGTCCTTAAAAGTGTTTTAGAAAAGTTTCGGTCGGCAGAAAACTTTTGACAATAATTTCGAAATTCCACCTTCTCGGTAAATTTCTTAATCGGCTACTGTGGAAAACCTTTGCAGATTAAATCAATTAGTCATCGTTAGCAAATGCAGATAGTCGGTTACTCTGATTATCAATTGGTGAAATTCTATTTGTTTTCTGTGCCAAGTTTATTAAAGAGTTTCTTTAAATTAAGAAAATAGCTAAAAAATGTATTAACGCTGCAAAGTAAAAAGATACCTTTTCGGTCTTTTTGAGTTTCTCGTCTAGGTCTTTGTTGACTTTGTTGATCTTTGCCATCCTCTCCCGCACAGACTTGGGGTACTTGACCTCCAACTCCTCCTTCATGTTCTTCAGGTCCTTCATCAGGTCCCGGATGTTGTCACCCCTGCAGGATCTGAAAAACAACAACTCTGAGTTCCTTAGACAGAAACAAAATAGTTCGGATAGGAGGCAGAGTTCACTGTAATTAATATGTTGGAAACTGTTGAAACAGACATAAAAAATAAAAAGATCAACCTGCCACCTTTGAACGATTTTGACATTCAATGACAAATAACAAAAAAATGGAACAGTCAAATTCAATTAAAAAATTCAAATGACCTATCTCAGACAATTTTTCAGACCGAAATATGCTTCAAGGTCGCCTAAAATTTTCAAAAGTCGATTGCGAATTTAAGGCTCTGAGACGCTTGGAAATCATAAATTTTGCATCGACTTCCACGGAAGTTGAAAATGCGTTTAGTCACAACTGGAATTGAAAGACTTGATTGAACGCGCAGATTGAAAAGGTTAATGATTTTTGCCCTGGTTGAGGGGCTCGACTTATGTTTCGACCCATTCGACTAAAAATGGTAATGTTTCGACCGACTCGACTCAAGTTGGCTATGTTTCGACCGACTGGACCCAAATTGGCTATGTTTCGACAAAAGGAAAAATTTGTACGACTGTGTTCCATTGAAGTAAACTATGTTTTGACCGATTGGACTCAAGTTGGCTATGTTTCGACCGACTCGACCGAACGAGAATGTGTTCGACGCAAACCAGCTATGTTTGGAACGACTCGACCAAATTGGGGATGTTTCGGTCGAAACATCGGCAATTTGGTCGAATCTGTCGAAACAGGTGGCTTGGGTCGAACTCATTTTTGTTCGCTCGAGTCGGTCGCAACATTGCCACTTTGAGTCGAATCGGTCAAAACATAGTTGACTTCAATGGAACACAGTCGAAGAAATTTTCCCTTTTGTCGAAACAGCCAATTTGGGTCCAGTCGGTCGAAACAGAGCCAACTTGAGTCGAGTCGGTCAAAACATTGCCATTTTTGGTCGAGTCGCTGGAAACATAAGTCAAGTCGCTGGAAACATAAGTCAAACACCTCAATCCGGGCAAAAATCAACAACTCATTTAATCTGTGCGTTCAACTAATTCTTTCGATTCCAGTTTTGACTGAAACCGTTTTTGAAATTCCGGGGAAATCGATGCAGAAATTATGAGTTCTAGGGACAACAAAACATCTATGAAATTCAGTTCGCCACCAACGTACGTAAGCTTGGTATGGACATGTTCCCATCTAAGTAATTCAATCCGTACTTCTTTGCAACAAACAATTATCAACCAGGAAACGAAAAATCTTTCTATGGGTATTTTTGCAAGACGACTAAAAACAGGACCATAAAACAAAAAATATTTTCGGTCCAAAAAACGTTTGCTCCCCTCCGATTTCATAAAATCATAAATCCCTCCCTCTATATGTGAGCAAAGTTTTAGTTCCGTTTCGAGTTGATAAAATTACCGGACACTCAAAGTTCCAACATTTGCAATCTTAACATTGATCTTACTAAACTTCAGCAATTTTCAATTACTGGAATAGATGCTTGAAGATTTATAGATAAAATGAACGTGAAGCCTTTGAATCGTTTCAATTAAAATTTGGCTCGCGTCTATTATAGTCAATATAACTTCAACCTAACCAAAAGCTGTAGCCCCGCCACCAGTAGCGTTTTTAGGGGGGGGGGGAGGGGGGAGGCGAACGCCTCTCCTTAGGGATTCGACCCCCTGCCGACCCAAAAGCTCCCCCTTTGTACTATTATGAGGTATCCATTTTGTCTGACTGAAAGTTTTATGAAGACACTTTGGCGCCAACAATATATACTACATTTGCGGGTGGAGCACGCTCAGCAAAAAAAAAATTTTTGGCCAAAACTTTCCAAAAAGTGCCTAAAACCGCCTTTTTGGCCTATTTGTTAAAAATTTGACTGCGGCGCAGAAAATTTGGTCAAAATAAGGTCTTAATGAGGAATTGGGATAGCTCAGAAAATCAATTTGATCGACCTAAAAAAGTTCGACAAAACTTAGGATTTTTTTGAAAAAGTCGCTCCCCCTCGAGAAATTCCTAGATCCGCGCCTGCCCACTACACTAATTTTCGTCAAATCTGGGGGGCTATAATTTACTGGGATGGCTGTAATGTGATAAGCAGCTTAAAAATCTTACAATTTAACTTCCAAATAATGGCCGCTGCAAATTTTACTGACTTACATATCAATAAAAACGCGACTACACAAACTTACCTACAGACGAGTTGACCCGTGATCACACAATGTATTGTGGTTTCCTTCTTCCCGCAATTGGAACATTTCCGAAGTGACTCCGAGTAATCCTCGCCCGACTTAGACGCCGTCGTGTCAGCCTCGCTCCTCGTGTCCTGCTGTCCGTACTCGGCTTTCGTCTGTTCGTTGCGACTCATTCTTGGTGTTAAAAGTGTGTTGTAAGTTGAATCTGTATGATAGTCTCTCAGATACTGTATTTAAACTTTGTCTTCAAAAATTACTCGACTTTTTATCAAAGAGAGCACGTATAAAATTAACTGTAATTCAATGCTCAAACAACGAATGTTTTTAACATAATTACAGCTATGTATCTTGTTAAAAGTTTAATTTTTGTTTTTGAATGATATCACATAAGTGATTAGAATAAAAACGTTTTTTTAAGTCTTTTTGAAAAGGTATCTTTGGAAATAAGTTCTGAAGAATTTTACCCAAATTTAAATGGGACAATCACAGCCCAAAAACACAAACAACTCGTCGAAAAAAATCAATTGTTTTTTTTTCGGAAAGGTTGAACAACAAGAGCAAAGGTAGATTTGTACAATCCTGTTGTCTTAGTTCACCAAGAGTACAACTTTGATGCTAAAATGATCAATTCGTTAACTTTCTAAATTCAAACCCTAACACTTGCAATTACCCGGCCGAGGTTTTGACTTTATGTTTCGACCAGCCCGACCAAAAGTATCTATGTTTTCTAAGGCAGATACTTCAACCAATGCGACCAAAATCTTTTATGTTTAAGTTCTGAGCCATAAATATTTCGACCAAGTTCGACAACGCAAGTTTCAGCTCGGCCATTTCGACCAAGGTTAAATATGTGTCCAGTTCGACTTAAGTTTCGACTCAGTTCGACAATAAGCCCTGCGCGACTAGGGATTTGTGGTCGCACAATGAGATTTTGTTCTTCAAAAAATAAAGTCGAAACCTCAAGCCGGGTTGAATATAATCTCTCAGTCGCAACAGACATTGCGTTTTAAAATGCCCATTCTTAAACACGCTGCTACAAATTTGCCTAATACTCCAACGAAACGACCTCTAGCGGCGGGTAGTTTACTAGCAAATCAAATACTTACACCGACCGTCTCGTCTTTCTGAGCACTATATGCAGTATGCAGCGAAAAATTTTTCACGTGGAATCTTAGATCTTATTAGTTTGTGTTACAGTTAAAATGATAGTTATAGATCAGATGGATTGTTATGATTTTACGGATAGATGCAATTGAGAATATGGAACATCTTTCGCCAGATGCAATTTGGGTGCGAAGATTTAAACTTAGTTCTCTCAACATGATCTTATTTCTTACTGACTGCTGTACTCGTCTAGAATGACGGTTTATCAACTGATTGATTTTTGTACCTTAAACGTCTGTCAGTGTCTCGGGTAGTTAGTTCTTCAAGTCTGTCAGTAAGGTTTTTGCTGTGTTGTCTAGCTTTTTGCACCTGCTGTCTAGACTTCAGGGTTCTTATAGTCTTTTTTCCTGCTTTTCTGCCTCCTCTTGAGAAAAGGGTTGCCTGCAATTTTTTTTATTTATAAAAAACAAAATCATGTTCAAATCAGAACTATTATCACTTTTGCATCGCCCTCCTTAAGCATTCAAATTCATAGCTTTTAAAAAGATTGGGCGCTTATCTCTTTTTTTTTCAAGGAAATCAGTCCAACCAATCAGCGAAATTTTTTTAAAAACATCCGGACTGATGATATGAAAAATCCTTTGCCTTGTTTCAAAAAAAATCCTTGAAAAGCAAACTCATGGGTAACGCAAACAAAGACAAAGGCAAAAATCCATGGTCGGAATCCAACAGGGATTTTTTCTTTGTAAACGGAAAGTCCACCCATCCAATCACTGATTCATCCATCCTACTATTAATCAATTCAGTCATTTATCCTGCCACCCATTCGTCCAGCCAGCAATCCAGCCAGCCATTCACTCAGCTTTTCATTGATCTGTTTTTCAGCTGTCCTCTCAATCAACTGTAATTTCAGCCATCCAGCCGCCCTGCTGGTAATCCATTTACACCATCCCTCCCGCCGCTCATTCATTCCATCAACCATCAGGTCATTCAGCTAGCCATCTATCTGTTTATCTAGCCAACAATCTGTTGATCAATCCAGCCAGATATCTATCTATCCATTCATCATTTAATGCTGCCATCCACTCATTCCTCCATATATTGAGACATCTATCAATTTTTCCATCCATCAGGTCATCCATCGAGCAATCTATCCAGCCATCTATCCATCGATCCATCGATTCATCAAACAACTGTTCTGCTCGGCTAAACAGTCATCGATCCAGTCAGTTATTGAACCATCCAACCATTCATCTGTTTATCCCTCTATTTATTCCTCCATATATACCGCAATCCATCAATCCCACCATCCGTCCATCCATCCAAAATTTTGTCGACCCATCTAACCATCTATCCAACCGGTAATCCAACATCCAATAATCCATATATCCGCTCATTCATCCAGTCATCCACCCAATCAATCATCCTAGAGATTATCTGTCCAAGTGTCCGACCATCCATCATTCCAATCAGCCATGCATCCATATATCATCGATTCACCCTGCCATCCATCACTCACGCCAAACATTCCGCCATCTATAATTTCAGTCAGCAATATATCAACCATCAACCATTCCATCCTACAGTCCGGCTATCCATTCACCCATCCTTCTGTTCAGACATCCAACAAGCTTTTTTTCTATCCATAAATGCATTCTGCTTCGCATCCAGCCATCCATATCATTCGCATCGAGCCATCCATCCATTATCGAGTCAGCCAGCCAAACAGCCAGCCAGTCCATGGCCAGTCATCCAGCCATGTACCTTTTCAGAGGAAACCTTTTGTAACAGATTATCCTTAACTTGATGAACGCCGACATTGATAAGCTACAATTCGCATAGAGGGAAGTAAAATCACAGAAGTCTTCCGGCTCATTAATTCCTCTTGGAGCTGGAAATCCGAAGGGTTAACAAAAAGGTGCTGGCATAGATATGTAAAAAGCAATTGATACTGTAGATAGGCATCGATTAAGGGAACATCTCATGAAAAGACAAGTAGAAACAGGCGACCTATGCATTAATAAAAGGCTTCTGAAATGATTATATCTACAAATTGATCGGAAAAAAACAATGCGGAGAAAAGTTTAGATAAACATGGTTGACTCGCAAAATGGTGATTATCAGCTAAGCTTTATAGATTGTATTTAAATGAGCCTGGGAAAACTTTCTAACCGATAACCTGAGCGTAATATCAAAACAACAAGTATTGGATTAGTCCTTCGTGGTCACAACTTCAGTGAAAAATCAGTGTTAGACAATCCAAGTCACCGATTGTATGCAGATGATGCTCAATTCATCTTCAATGACAGATCAGAGGCAGACACCGAAGCTGGGAGCTATACGAAGAAGTTTTTTTCGATAAAAACTAAGCATCATTCTTGATGAGGGAGAAGAAATCAGTTAGCGAACCTCGCTATGTCGAAATACAAAAACAC